TCTTTTATCACTTATATGAGCAGCCGTTCCACACTGTGTCTTTTCGGTTTGGCCTAATATTAGTAAGTTGGCCAAGAGAATTATTCACATTAATAACTCACGAAATTTTGTTGTTAGAGATGGAAAATTAAATTCGACAAAACACACTGCAAACTTCTCCAAAAATTCTCGAACATTCTCCCTAAAACGTCCTTCTTTTTTATATATTGTGAATGAAAAAAAGCCCACTCAATGATGCAAATTTTTGTCTTGTTTATTCATTAAAGAAATTGTTACCGAGGAAAGGCAAAGGGGAGAGAAAGTAGAGTCAGCCGTCTTTTCTTTTTCTCTCTCCGCCATATTCGTCATTTTCTATTAGAAGTGCAAACATGACGTCAATTTCAAGTTGTCGGGAAAATAGAGGGGAAGAAAAGATGGAATTTTGGCTAGTAATAATTATGAATATGTATGTGTGTATGTATTTGTGATGACTGTGGAGACAACGATTTGGATAACATTTCCCTTCCATTAATCCAAATTTCTTTAGCTCTTTTAAAGCTTGTTGATTTATCCGTTTATTTGCCTATTGCTCTACTTATATGTTCGTTATTCTGTCTTATCGATCCAACATTACTTTTTTTTCCCGAATTTTGGATTTTAGTATTTCTAGTAAATTGAGGTATTATAAGGATGTTCGTTTCCTTCCATCAAAATTTTCATACATAAGAAGGAATCTAGAATATTTCTATCTTCATTTTTTCGTTTATTCTTTGTTTTTTTATTTTCAGACTCACTGTGGTGTGTTTCGTAAAGAAAGCTGTTGAAAGCCTAGCAACAACTTTGACGCCCTTTCCCTTGCGTATATTTTGTGAATGATGGTTGTGAAGACGAGGTTGTCCCTTCATTCTGTTAATAATTTCCTTGCGGAGGGATGACTATTGTGTAGTTAATGCTCCTATAAGCTTACGTAAGCTTTTTTGCTCTATTTCCTCCGCAATTTCATGCTACATAGTTATCATGTAATTTTGATTGAACTAAATGGTTGTTTTTCCTTCCAAAATACCACTTAATGATCGAAAATTTTCCTCAGTTCCACTTCCATGTGCTTTTATCAGTTCATTTCTCTCTTTACCTGGGATTCTGATACTACTGGAAAAACGCACTGAAAGTAAAAGGGAGTGAGAAAGAGGAGAGAGAGGAAAGGAGAGAATAATGGTAATGCAATCAGAGGTGTTATTCGATCGTTTCATACTCTTTGATAAGGCCTCATTTCTTTCGGATTTTTTTTTCGTACTTTGCGCCGTATATAAGAGCATATGCCAACATACAAATACACATACACACACACACACACACACACGCAGATACACACATACATATACCTATCAACCTACCACAATTTCTTTTTGCCATAGAGAATAGACATTTGCGTTGTGGATTTGATGTATGAGAGCTTTCGAAGTATTTCTCTTCTCCTTCGTTATCATTCTCACTCTCTTATTGCAATGTTTTGAGCATTGAATTGAATATTTCCTTCGATAATGCCGGTCGAATTATTTTCAACCTTGCTGAGACTATTTTAACGAATAAAGTTTGAGGGACAATGTGAAGTAAAAGTGTTTCTTTGGAGTAATAACCTTTTAAAAGGATTTATAAACTAGTGGTGTAATAGTAGCTTCAAAGTCCTTTTTTTGGGTCGAAGGTGGATGAGCTGAAGAGTAAGAATATATATTTGTGGAAAAGAATATTAGTTGCAATGAACGAGGAAGGGGGAGGGAAAAGGAGGGCATTTCATGAAAGGTGAACTCTACAACAATGAACATCCGACAAAGTCATTCACTTTGTATGCACAGCAAAAAATGCACCACCACCACGAACTTTTGATGTTGTACTAATAACTGCAAAGTGTAAGAAATGTAATATTTGAGATTCGGCCTGCACTCATGATGCTTGTTGGATGCTTGAGCAATAAGTAGTAAATCCTCACCTTTCTTCTAGATTGAAGAATAAAGGCATCTCTCTATGTTCTCTTTTCTCTACCAGATTTATGATTTATTAGTTGAATATGTTCTGCTATATATATCACTCTTTCTCTTTTTTCTGTTATTTTGTTGTTTCAAAGCAAGATATTTGAAAAACAACTGTTTTTTAATAGATTGATTTAACGATCTTAAATTCCATCATTTTATTTCATTTTTGATTAAACTTTGGTTTTTATTTTAAAATTTAGAAGCTAGAAAATAATTTCAACGAATCTTTGCTTGTACACTATGTTATATCATCTTGTCTATAATCCTGTTTAAAATCAATGACTAATATGCTTCATCATAAGTGAATTTGACATCGCGTTTCGATATGTTGCAAAGCCATTGGTAAACAGGAAAATGGATTCATTCGGTTGACAAGTAATTAAATTCATATAAATATTAAATCACTGATATATACCTTATCAAACTATTGTTGGGAGGAGCAAATTTTCGTAACGTTGGATATATAAAAAAATAACCGAATTATCCAAGTTACTTCTAAAGAAATAAAAGATTCAGTGATTAAGTTAAGAAATTATTGGTCACAATAATATTTATACCGAAAACAGATACTTTTATTCAGAAACGTGTGTGTGACGTGTTAAAGAGGTAGTGATTTTTATTGTTAATTGCTTATGATTTCCTTTTTTAGTCGCTCTGTGGTTTATTCTGACGATAGATTGAATGAGTACCATGTGTGATATATTAATTTATCAATTAATTAAATATCAAGTCATTGAACTATCGATAAATGGCCTTGGTATATAGCAAATTATTACCAACAATTAATCCATACTATTTCATCTAGAATTCATTCCATAACATGTACTTTTTTCGCACCTTCGCCTGTCATCTAGTTCACGAAGAGTACATTCTTTTTTGCAGATTTGCTCATTTTTGTGAATATTTTTGCCAATTAACGAGGGTGCATTCTTCACTTGCGCGCATTTGTAAATTTTTATGCACATTCTCGGCTCGTTTGTTACAAATAATTCAAAAATAATTTCATCACTGTTTTGCACTTTTTGAAAAGATCAAGAATTATTCACTAGATTCATTGTTTTTACATAAAAGGATGTTTACTTCCTATTACACTTAGTGACTAGAGAAGTAACTGTGTTTCCTCAGTACATTTTCTTGAATCTTATATTCGATATATTCACGTGCTATCTTTCAGATGTTATAACGGGATCGAAGTTTTTTTTTTATTATTTTTTTAATATTAATCTATACTATTTCATCTAGAATTCATCCCATAACAGTCTAGTGAATAATTCTTTTTCTATCTTTTTTAAAAGTCTTCAATTAGTAGGACCGAAGATTGTTATATTTGATTTGATATTAGTTTTCTCTTTCTTTTTATAAGATTATATAATATCCCATTTCAACAAATTATGTATTCTTTAATTTCCCTTTCAAATACTAGTTCCTTTTTCAGTAGTTTATTTAAATATCAACATATTGGGTTGAAAGCATAGGATGTTTCTTCTATGGATTCAAAGTTTTGTAGAATTTTTCTTCTCTTGCAAACATGTTTCACGCTAATTTTTCATCATTCTTTGTATATAAATTGATAAGTGAGTAGTTATGTTTTTCGTTGCCATCTCAAAGTGTCGCAAATGACAATGTAATTTATTAATACGATAGATTGATAACTATTTTCCAGAGGAAAGTCAAGTTGTGTTCAGATTTTTTTCCAAACTTTTAAAAGCATAATTTCGCTTTATAGAATGATTCTAAAAGACTTGGAAACAGTGGATAAGCAACTCAAAAAAGAGCCAGATGAACAGGGTGTTGCTTCGGTGGTCATTCAACCACCTGCAGAGCCAGGTTTATAAGTTTGCTTTTTACATGTAGTATTTATTCAGATCTGTAACATTTATAATCCAATTAGATCATTTGGAAAGTTTGGATTTGCTTCTTTTGGCTGTTATTTCTTTTGCAAATAAGCAAGGATGACTCAGATATTTTGTTTACCGGCGTGTACAAAATGTACAAAATCTGAACATTCACATTATCCAAGAGACTTTATCGAAGAAAGCTGATATGATACTAACATAAACAAATCAAGGACTTGCCTATCGCAGTTATTTTCGAAAGTTAATCCTTTACTAGTATTTTGATTAGTAATTTTCCTTATTCTGATTTTTTTCTTTTCGAAATAGTTCATTTTGATGACTAAAGTTGTAGTTGCGCCTTTTCTCCGTAGATCAATTTGAATTTGTTGTTAAAATCATGTTGTACCACACAATATGATAGCAACTGATAAATGATTACAGTGGAAACAGTTCGATCACAGATGTCGCTAAGACAGGATCCTAGTGCTCAGTTATCAGAGCAGCAAGCAATCTCTTCTCGACTTGAACAAGTTCAGTACATTGCACCTTCCGGTATGTTTATTAAAAAATTGGTTCTCATCAAAATTGAATGTTTTTGAACATTGTAAGTTTTTTAATGCATATCCTGTTAAAATCAGTTGGATCACATTTTCATTGTTTTGTACAGTAAAGTTGTACGCTATATAATGTGTCATGTGTTTCAATTAGACTAACTTGTCGGTTGGGATTTTCGAAAGTCCCAACGAATGGGCAAATTGGAGCAATTTGATTAAATTGTGGACATTTTCTAATACTCTAATTCCAGATCACCTCTGAAGTGTATATATTCATCATTATACGAATATTTAACACATTGAATGGTCCGATTTCGCATAACGCAGATCGATATATTTCGAAATGCTCAGCCTGCTTAATTTCGAAGTTCAGTAATATAGTAAAGATTTATAGGATTGACTCGTCTTCATACAACAAATGGCAATTTGACGTTGAATTCAGCAGCACTACCCGGCATGCACAATGTTGGAGCAACAGGTATGATTGGACAGTATTCACCCGTTGCTACGGTTGCAGCAGCGGCAGCGGCTGCAGCAGCTGCTGCATCACGAACAAGTACCAGCACACCAAAAAACGCACAGGTAGTAATTACCTATTTGTAGTTGTCTCTTTTTTACAAATTTAGTAATTTGTTTATACAGAATTTCTAGTCCTTACGTCTTAATGATAAATGGCCAGAAAATATAGAACAGATTGGATGGGTAAACAAGAAGATAAATAATAGAGTGGGAAGGTAGAGAGGAAATGCAACGGACCTACCGGAGACCTAATTTCAGTGTTAGAAATAAGAGAACAGTTTTACTAATACTCATGACTAGTCATTACAGGAATTAGGCCAAACGGCGGGATCATCATCGGGACCAGTTCCAGGGATGCTACCAGTAAATGCCGAAGTTTTGGGTCTCAAAACGATGAGTGTTAGCGGTGATAATCAACAGCAACAATATGTTCCGCCAAATCAAGGAACTGGTCAAGGCACTGGTTCCCGTTTTGTCATCACTTAACATTCTTAGTTCTTTAAAAAACTTCCAAGTCAAGTTTTCTGAATTTTATAATTACCTTGATGACCAGTTAAGAAACCGCTACATTAAGTTAATAAAGGCTAAAGTCATTAAACTCTAGATTTACGGAAAGTTTAACTTGTCTTTCTTGCTTTCTTATTGAACCAGCATTTAAACCGTTCATTTGAGATAGTTGAGGTAAGTTTTTCAAATCTGGTCTTGTTAGAGCAGAAAAAAAAAAACTAGAAATAAGTGTAAGAAGAACAAGCAGACTATAGAAAACAAAGTGAGATTCATTTGATATGCAGAGGTTTGTATTCTGGCTCGCAACGAAGCATATTTCATATATGCAAAAATTTATGGTGCGTTTACTCTTCAAAACCTAAGACGTCGTTTTTGAAACTCTAAAACCAAAACAAAGTTTAAATTTCAGATTGGCAGTCCACTGTGATGTCTGGTTACACATCATCCCCATCACCACTTAGTATGGCCGGTGGTAGTCGAACAGCTACCGAAAGTGATGATAGCACAAGAAAGAGACAAGTGCGGCTCTTAAAAAATAGGTTTTATTTTTTTCTTGCTTTAAAAAAAGAATGGTTAGAAATCGATGTTAAAATTCGAAAATTCGTTTTTTTTTTTGAAATCCAGTTAGATATTCTTCATGGTTGCTTAGTTTGAAGCTGATCTCAGGTCATAAAATTAATCAAAATTCCTGCATCGATGTTATTGGAGTAGAACTGTTTAGTATTTATGTGTTTTAGTAACTAAATCACTAAATGTCAAATTAGATTACAAATAGCCTCCTATTAGCGGTGTGCTTTTCCGTTTTTTACATTATCTTTCATAATCTAACTTATTAAGTCGTTACCAGATCTTAATCAGCAATCAGTGTTATTTTGATTAGTCACAGATTTTTAGAATATTCTGCTGTTTTAGTACTGGCCAAACTGTTAACATTTACCTTATTACGTTGAACTGGATTAATCGTTTTCATTTTGAAGAATGCGTTTTATTTTTTAAGAATAAAAAAGTTTGCAGATAATTGTGATAGTTGTGAAAATTACATTTTCTTTGTTAAAGAGAAGCAGCGAAAGAATGCAGGCGGAAGAAAAAAGAATATGTGAAGTGTTTAGAAAATCGTGTTGCTGTTTTGGAAAATCAAAACAAAGCACTGATTGAAGAGCTGAAGACGTTAAAGGAATTGTATTGCAGGAAAGAGAAAAGCGAGTTATAAGTATTTAAAATACGAAGGGAGAGTTTTATTATTCTGTTCCTTGAATTGCTTCTAGTTTTTGCTTGCTTCAGGGAATTTTTTACGTCGTTTATAGGCGCGCAATTTTCATATTTAGTTGTAAAAGTTGTTCTGTATGAGAGATGTTAATAAGTGTCCATAGTTGTTTCTCCAGCATATTTTGAATTGAATGAGGATGCAGGAAAAAATATTTAGTTTTATATATGTTTGATAATCCAAGAGACTATAGAGATGAAATAATTTTGACTTAAAATTTGACTGTATTCGTGTATTTGAAAATGAAGTATTTCTAGTAATGATAAAATAGTTTCAAAAGTAATCTTTGACATTACTGAATTTTCAGTATGCTTCTCACCGATTCATAACAAGAGAAAAATAAATAATTAAGTGGATGAGTAAATGGTATCGCTTATAATGATTTTGGAATATTAGCGTGAATTAATTTGTACTCACTGACATTTTCATTAATGATCGTTTGTGGATATTAGTTTCTAATAGGAAAAAAGCCACCTTCCTAGTATTCTAATAAATATAAAACTAGATGGTATTTGCTATCAAAAAAATCTTAATTTAATATTGAATACTGAATAATGTTATTTTTTAGTATGGCTAGGATCTTTTTCAATATAATAATTCAATCATTATATGTTATGATTTTATTTTTTCTTTGATTTTGATTTTTTCCTTTAACCTTATTTTCTGCGTGCACTGTTTTCCCGGTCATTTGTTATTTGCTTGTGATTGTTCTGTAGTTTTTATTTTGATGTACAATATTTTTCATTATGTTTAAGAATTGAATTTTTCAGATATTATTTAATTCTACGACAATGATAATATTCTAGCTCACTTCTGTAAAAATTTCTGAATAATATTGGGTTAACTGGTTGATCATATCCTTTTCCAGTTCAATAAATTCTAAGTAGTGAAGAGCTATAATATTGCGCATCTCCAAATTATTTTTTGAATATATGATTATGGGAACGATAATGTTCTCCACAGACTTTTATGGTGATATATTTCGATTTAAGGTGGTCTTTTTCAATTCAAATACTGAAATTATTTTTGATAGTTGCTGAAATTGTCATTTTGTTTTTTTTCTTCTCATTTAATTATTACTTCTGAAAGAGAATATGCAAGGCATTGATATCATTGGAAGATAAGAGTATGGTGATAAGTCATAACAGTGGTGTGCAATTATATGAGTCATAATAATTTGACAAAATGAATTACTACAAGAAAAATTTTTTTGTGCAAATGCAAAAATGAAACGGTGTTTGTCAGTTTATTAGGCTGATTTAGGAATCAACAACAAAAATTTCTATCCCATATTATATGTGGCGGTCACAAACTGTTGAATGTATATTGTAAATAAAAGAGTCAATGCTTTTTAAATAGGGAGAGGAGAGAAAGCATAATATTGGAATTTGTGATATCTGTAATTTGCTTGTTCTTTAATAGCGACATTATGTGAATGATAATGAAATGTTAAATGTACAGTTTTAAGAGAGAAATGAGAGAACTAAGAATATCCATGTTTCTTTTCAGATGAGGAATCACGACCAGTCGTTGTATATTATTATTGTTATTCTTGTGAAATGTTGAAATTTTCAATGAACTAAAATTGTTTTTCAATGAATCTGAAATTCTTTTTTGTTCATTTTTGTCGGGTAGTTATCAGTTTTACTGTAATAAACAAGGAATAGATAGATGCTGAGATTTTAAAGCTTTTTAATATCGTTTTTACTCTTTCGCAATTTGATGTAATATTTTGTTAATTTTCCTTGTGTTTTTGAATTGCTTTTATTTTATAAAGAGAATTTGAGAATTCCTGATCCTAAATTCTTGAATTCGTGTGGTTAGTAGCTACCCTAGAAGTTATTGTATAACAAGTAAATATTGCGAAGTTTTTGTACCATTCCAGAAAGAGGAAGAGAAATAATGCCGTTCGTTGTGAATTGTTATAGTACGCTTGTTGTTATTGTTGTCGCTTCAATAATTTGGACAAAGTCCACGTAATGGATTGGATGAGAGATTTTGTAAATTTCGTAAAGTTAGTCGTGAATTCTTCGCACTTTAACAAAGATATGATTTGTGTTAAGAACGTGCGAAAAAGTGAGGGGAGGAGTTCTACGCATCGAGTTCGTTTCACATTTTTGGAATTTTTTTTGAATTAAAAGACTTATTTTGATCTCTCTTCCTAGTTCTCATGCTTCACTACCATTTCTGAAATCAAGTATCACAATTCTGGTACATTTGGCAGTACTCTTTTTGTTTTGGCCATATCTGCTTCCAGTTAAACTGTCCTCTGGTCATTCTTTTTTCCGTGGATTTTTCGTCAACTCTTGCAGGTATTTGTTCAAGACACATTTGTTTTTGCGCATATGAGATTTTGTTGTTCGGCAGATAAGATTTATTGCATAAGTACCACATTATTTCGGTTACAGTGGCTTTTTTCTCTATGCTGTATATTTCAAACTGTTTTTGAAGCTGTCGAGTATTTAAAACAATTACTAGAGGCGGTGGAACGTTTGACAAAATTGATTTCAAATGTTGTGAAAGAAGGAAATAGCACCAATGGCTGTACCTCTTATGTTCGTTCTGGATGACATCTGTCTCACTGATCATTCCGTTAGGAAAAGTGGCGGAGTAGTTTTCACTATCGCTTGATTACAGTATATTGTTTTCCAGAAAATTATCTTTCATATTGTGAATTTGGATCAGAATAAAGAATTAAATGTTTACATCCATTGCTAATGAACTGTCGGTTACTTAAAAGTGGTGTTTTCAACTCGGTACCACAAACTGTTTTTTAAACATTTAATTTGAATATGTTTGGGTGTTGAGGTGAATTGAATCCTTCACTAATTTACGAATAGTTGTTATGTAAAAGCAATGTCAGCACATTCGGTTTTCTTTGTTGAATTCATCACTCGGACGAAAAGTTCCTGTTAATAAATGGATGAAGTTTAATGATGGAGTGGAAAAGAGAATAAAATTTATCAGAAAAGATCCATTATTCTTTTACCTTCGATTGTGCGCAAAATGTATATGAAATAGCGTTTAGCAACAATGTTTTAAATTAAAGCGCTTTATTTTGATTGGATTTCGTAGGAATTTGCCACGTTTCAATCTTCTCGTCAGACAATTCCCTACCTGTTTCGTTATATACGGGTCAACGGACTTGAGAATCAATACCATTAGTCATTGAAAGTAGTTTCGCTCTTTTGAATTACTTTAATGAAGCTAGGTTCTTATAATTGCTATTTTCCAGTTTTTTGCAGGTAATTCATTATGACTGATTCAAAGTACTTTACGACCACCAAAAAAGGTTAATTTTCATTCCGTCCGATAGTGTTGAAATTTAGCATATATATTTGAGTCCGGTGTTGTTACTTTAAAAATTTTTGATGTTTTAGCGCAGAAGTTATATCTTTACCGTAATAACGTTTTCCTGATATATAGGACTTAATTAGCAATGAAGATAAACTTGAAAATGAAGAAGCAATGAGGAAAAAAACTGTCTTGATTGTTTGATTGTTACCGAGATGACAGAAGAAAGTGATGTCTTGGAATCACTGTATAGTGACATCTTGGAATGGTTTTAGAATAAAAGTAAATTCTGAAATAAACTTTCTTTGAAATATAGTTTCGTTCAGCCCGCAAAGAAGAAGAGTGTAGAGATTTATTTCCAGGTGAAATATTTGAACTGAAAAACGAATTGAATTCGGATAAGAAGGAAAAGAAGAGGGAAGCAGTGAAAAAAGTTATTGCAAGCATGACAGTTGGTAAAGACGTCAGGTATTTCTTGCTCGATTTAGCAATTCTTTATTAAAGCTTTCATGATCATGAATCACAACGATCGGGATATTCGGTTACTTAGTACAAGAATTCTTTGGACTCTGCGCTAGGCACATTTGTTCGTGATAATTTGGTGGGATTGTGGATACTCTGTCGAATCATTTCATGCGGTCTATATTACATTATGGCAAAGTTTTCGCGCAGAGTAGTAACTTTTATAAAATTTAGGTGATATTTCTAAATTTGATTTTTTCAGTGCACTGTTTCCGGATGTGGTGAATTGTATGCAAACAGACAATGTTGAGCTGAAGAAGCTAGTTTATCTCTATTTGATGAATTATGCCAAAAGTCAACCAGATCTTGCAATTATGGCGGTTAATACATTCGTGAAAGTTAGCTTCTTTTTCTCATAGTATCTTTAAAATGCAGGATTATCTGAGCAGATGTCGTGCGTTTCTCACTTAAAGTGTGTGAATATGCCAAAGATTGTCGGATATCAGTCCCTGAAAAACAAATATTATTGAGTCTTCTTTGATGCTTACATTATGGAATTGGTTGTCAATTTCATTTTCAGATTGAAATAAAAATGAGATTTTTATTGTAATCTTAATATTTAAGATTTGAAATCTTGCTGTATATGAATATTAAGAAATAATGTCGAGTTAGGTAAAATGATTTGATTCATTTTCTATAATATTCAAGTAATTTTTCTTAAAATGTTAAAAAAAATTTTAAGGATTGTGAGGATCCAAATCCGCTTATTCGAGCATTAGCTGTACGAACAATGGGTTGCATACGAGTTGACAAAGTAAATTTTTTCTAGAAGGGTATATTTAATGATGAATTTCCGAATTTATAAAATTAGCGGAATAGAAATTGCCAATTTCAGATAAATATCAATTTTCAAATCAGAAAGGATATCTGAATAGGCTAAATTTTTATTCTGATTTTAAATTTTGATGTTTAAAACTCCAGATAACGGAATATTTGTGCGAACCGTTACGTAAATGTATGAAAGATGAAGATCCGTATGTTCGCAAGACTGCAGCAGTGTGTGTAGCAAAATTGCATGATATTAACGCTTCACTTGTAGAGGATCAAGGATTCGTTGATTTACTTAACGATTTACTGAGTGATTCCAATCCTATGGTTGGTTGTTTTTCTTTGTCTTTATAGCTAACACCCTTCAATTGCTATTGAGTTTCAATCCTCCACTGAGTGCGGTTCTGGCGAATGCTTTGACAAGCAGATCAAAAGGATGAGGCAGTGTGAATTACCGAGCTTCTGTTTCATTTAGTTGTGTCTTGTATTTTTTCTATATTTGCAGGTGGTGATTTAACTCAATTCAAAATATTCATTTTTTCGGAAGTGTGTTGCAGGTAGTAGCAAATGCGGTGGCAGCGTTAGCAGAAATCAATGAATCACACGTTCTTATCGAGATCAATTCGCAAACCATAAACAAGTTGTTAACAGCATTAAATGAATGTACTGAGTGGGGGCAAGTGTTTATTCTGGATGCTCTTTCATCATATCAACCAAAAGATGAGCGCGAAGCACAAAAGTTCGTTTCAATTGCATTTTTTTCTGAAATCACTGGCACAAAAAAATCAGTTTTTGATCAATTTATTGGAGGCGAAGGTTTTAAAATATGTACACAAAAGTGTACACATTTTAAAACGATTAACATTTAGTTTTTATAAATCTAATAAACCTGAAAATATGTCAGTTGACATGCTACATCACCTTACTCAAGTTTTAGTCAAAATCAATGTATAGTAAATAGGGCAATCGTGAACCTCTTTCTAGACCAAACTTGTCTGAGGTTAATTTTCCTTCGCAGTCTATCCACTTATCTTTTCAAGAGGTTTGCTTGTTTCATGTTGTAGATACCAGTTAATCTTTTGTTTGATTCGTGATGTTTAACAAATTTTACTTTCCGTTAGTAATGCATCTGCGAAGCTGCTGTGAAGAAAATTTCTGATTTATACATGCTCTTAATGTAATATTTGTTATCTTCTGCAATTATCTCATATCGAAACTGATTTGATTGTGAATTGCACGGAGAAAATTTTGCCAACTATATTACTTACTAGTTTCGATTGCCAGTAAGCAACCGAAAAACTTGCTAAATAAGATTACTCATAATAATATCTTACATTGCAGCATTTGTGAGCGTATTAGTCCTCGTTTGGCTCATGCAAATGCTGCCGTTGTTCTGTCGACTGTGAAAGTTCTCATGAAATTAGTGGATATGCTACCGGAAAGTTCGGAATTCATTGGGCAGCTAACGAAAAAGCTTGCACCACCAATGGTTACATTACTGTCTGCTGAACCTGAAATTCAATACGTAGCACTGCGGAATATCAACTTGATAGTGCAGAAAAGGTTCTTATATCGTAGCGACAGATTTTAAGTGTCATAATTGCTTCTATGTTAAAAGATTATAAAATTGAATGAATTTGGGTTTTTTCTTGAAGTGAGTTTTCTGTTTTGAGTGAAATGAAGTGCTGAAGTTAAAACCAGATAGATTTCAAACTTTCTTCAAATTCAGTTTTCTTTTGTAGGCCAGAAATTTTGAAACAAGAAATGAAGGTATTCTTTGTTAAATATAATGATCCAATATACGTGAAAATGGAGAAACTCGATATAATGATTCGTCTTGCACAGCAAAATAATATCAACCAAGTACTAAGCGAGTTAAAAGAGTGAGCTTTATTACAGTTGCTTATCGAAATCTGATGAGATTTGCTATTTTGCAAACAGTCAGTAAATGATTTTGTACAGATGTAACTTTAGCCGTAATTAGGAAAAACTATGGTTCTCTTATTTATTATTCAAAAAAGATTGAACAACTGTAGTACCGAAAACAATTTGCTAGGTAACACTAAAAACTGCATAATTTTGTAGGTACGCAACAGAAGTGGATGTTGATTTTGTAAGGAAGGCAGTTCGTGCAATTGGTCGTTGTGCAATTAAAGTGGAGCAAAGTGCCGAGAAATGTGTTAGTACCTTGCTGGACTTAATCCAGACTAAAGTGAATTATGTCGTTCAAGAGGCCGTTGTTGTTATTAAGGTTCATTATGGATTTTCTTTTGTTTATTATTAGCAAAAAAATCTTATTTCTTTGGTTTTTGAGGATGTATACACGAAATTAGCTTTTAACATGAAGTACGATTTTTGATAAATGAAGTAATTTTAAATATTAAATACCATTTTTAACTGGACAAGCAATCTAGTGGTGAGAGAAATGCAAATTATTGAAATCCTGATTTTAATAAAAAAAATCCTGATTTGCCTTTTAGGATGACAGATCTGATCTATGTTTGACGTCCAGTAATATTAAGATTTGTAAGTATGCTACATTGAGTTTACTGGATAGCTGATTTGCTAGTTTTATGAATTATGTATTTTTGTAGCAAAGTATTGTGATTCCATCATAATTTGAAATTTTCAGGATATCTTCCGTAAATATCCGAACAAATATGAAAGTATAATTTCTACACTTTGTGAAAATCTTGATACATTGGATGAACCGGAGGCTCGCGCATCAATGATCTGGATCATTGGAGAATATGCAGAGCGTATAGATAATGCAGATGAATTACTGGAATCTTTTGTTGAAGGTTTTCATGATGAAAATACTCAGGTAAGAGTAAACAGTTACCATGCTCATAAACCTCCGAATGGAAAACCCCTCGTCGAAGTTTTCCGCAGAATTCCCAGATTTGATTGTGAACTAAAATTGTTACTTTAATTTATATTGATTCTTCTTTTTATATTGAGTTTCAAACACTAAAATTTTAATTTTTTATTTAATTTTAATCTATATTGAGTTTCAAACAGTAAAATATGAATTAATGCAAGTTTTTGTCAACAGTAAGTAACTGGTCCTGTTTATATTGAAACTGACATTTTTTTGATTCTCCTTCAGTAGACAATTATAGTCCCAAAAATTACAAATCCCTTTTTCTGGAAAGTTGGGTTGTTTTGTTCTTTCAGGTTCAGTTGCAACTGCTTACAGCAGTAGTTAAGTTATTTTTGAAACGGCCGAGTGAAACACAGCAGCTTGTTCAACGAGTATTGTCTTTGACCACTCAAGACAGTGACAATCCAGATTTGCGCGATCGTGGATATATTTATTGGCGTTTGTTAAGTGCCGACCCAGCTGCCGCAAAAGAGGTATAAATTTAAGGGATGATCAGTCGAAAAGAAATCTGAATCCATTAATGAATTAATTGAAGAAATAGATCTCAGTACATAAAGTGCGAAAAAATATATTCATACATCAATATACAGCAAATATTAATATAATTCTTAGGTTGTGTTAGCTGAAAAACCGCTTATTTCGGAGGAAACAGATTTGCTGGAGCCATCATTGTTGGATCAACTTGTTTGTCACATTGGTTCGCTAGCATCTGTTTACCATAAACCACCATCATCTTTCGTTGATATCACGAAACATCCTCTGAGGACTACAAATGCTGCTACGGGGTTGGCATTAAACTCTTTACATAAATTGACAGAAACAGCTATCTTTTACTTTTTTTCCCATCTCTGCATTTATTTTACGTTATATAAAATATCATTTTGGTAGTTTCTGTGGAAAACACTTGCTGAATAATTGATTTAAAGACAGCGAAAAATCTCTTTTAAGCACGGTTAATTTTGATAAGTTGCAGTTGTATTGTGTACTTTTTTGCTTAAGTTGTTCTATCTGCATTGTCTGATCATTCATTGTAGTTCGCCTGGTTGCTGTAATAGAGACTTAAGATTCTACTGGCAGAGCATTTTCTTTATTTTACCTTTTTTTTCCTAACTAGAAGGATAGATATAGTGAAGGATAGATGGTAGGAGTTATTAATAACATGCACGATATGATAGTCTGTTTAAGCTGAAATTGATTCAAAATGAAATTTGATATGATTTTTTGTTTATATGATAGTTATTCGAAACAAAGTAAGTTTATTTTACTCATTTGTGAGAATATTAGCAAGATTCATCACAGTTTTGATTTTTTTAATGAAGAATTTATTGGTTTTAAAAGATTTTCGATTTGAAGAGTTGATTGTTATTTATTGTTAGTGATGGTCCTCATAGTATTGCTGAGTATGCTTTTTGCTCTTACCCTTGATAGCACATTTTATCGACAGTGTGTTTCAGTCCCGCACTGTGTATTCTTTCATTCATGTAGAGAAGTGACCAAATTAAGAGGGCAAATTCTTCTGAATGGATTATTGTGAATTCAGCTTCCTTCAGGTCATTGGATTTGGCAGTGTTTAAAATCGAAATCTGAGTTTTCCTGTTTACTTTTAGATAAATGTTTTAGAGCAGCTCAAATTATGACAGAGGCTGGTGATTCGATGAATCGACAAAGTGGTGCAACAGACACAGCACAAGCGCCAACAGTAATACCATCTCAAGATACATTAATCGCAAATCTTTTATCGCTTGACATATCGGCACCAACTACTGGCGTCACCACACATGGTAATGCAATATACTAGTACATAATATGTAGAAGGCTTAAATAGATTCCATTGTAGGCTTCATCAAAATTCAAATTTCAAAATACCGTGTTATTTTAAGGATTTTTCAGTTGGATAAAGCCTGCAACTGCACTGCTCAGGTATAGATAACTAAAAAAGAAAGTTATAAGAACAATAAATAGACGAATAATGGGTATAAGTGTAGCTTTTCATTATCGAGATGATTGTAGTAGTTTTATTGCATTTCTAGCTTTCAAAAAGCATAGTTATATTCATGTGGCTTATTAAAGAGAAAGAAATTGATATGCTTTTCAAATTATGCAATAAGGAAATTTCTTTATTTTAACTTAAAATGTAGGTATGGACTCGTACCAGCCAGCACCGATGTCTTCCGGTCTCGACGACTTATTGGGTCTGGGATCTGATGGATTGCTTGGTGATGTTGGCGGAACAAGTTCATCACCTATAATACCAGCTCAAGTATCAATTCCTGAGGCAAATGCTGGAGGGATTTTTTGTGCTCCTGCACCAGCACCTGTCACTGCTGCACCTGCATTTTCTTTTGCGCAGGTTTGTTTCTGCTATTTTATTTATTTGATTGAAGGAATCGACAAGATTAATTGCTTCTCGTTGTTCAATCCATAAAGATTTCCTTAAACTGAAGAAAAATCGAACATTGGCTATAGAGTAATTAATATTTGAAAAGAGTAATTAATGTTTCGTCATCCTTTCAGACAACAGTTCCATCAGCTGGTATGGCACCAACAGCTCCAATTACTACCGCTCTTTCCAATCCATTCACTAGTTTGAATGATCTTTTTGGTGGACCTGTGATGAGTGCACCAATTCTCTCAGGTCAAACGGGGTATGTAGCTCCAAAAACTGTGAGTTTTTCAAATTTTGTATTTCTAGATATTTGATAGCAGGAGTTCCATCTAAACTTACTTTTCACTTTATGGTATTTGTTGACCAGTATAAATTCAACTAATAATTCTAGATTAACTCTATTTCCATAAATTGCTGTTATGTGTTTATCCATATCTCATCAAAGCTTTCGGCATTATTTATTTTAAAATTTCAGGTTTGGTTAGAGGCTAGTAAAGGGAAAGGCACACAAATTGAAGGAACTTTCATTCGTCGTGGTGGACGAATTTACATGGATATGGTTTTTACAAATCGTGCAATGCAGCCTTTTACTGGATTTGCTATCCAGTTTAACAAAAATTCGTAAGCGGCAGTTGATCTTCAAAAGCACTTTGATAAAGTTGCTTAAATTGTGGAAAAGTTTTAAGTGGCTATCAGTTTCTTTAGAGGCAGTTGAAATTTTTTTAACTTACTTATATTTTGCCCATTGAAATATTTTTATTGTAAATTGGCAGTCCTAGACTATTTTCTGCGCGTCTGAGAGATGGATAACTGAAAAATTGGTCTATATGGTTTTTAATTTAGTGGTAGATATCGTGAAACTACTCGATCAGTTTTGAGACAGAAAATTAGTAAGAAAGCAAAAATAGACCAAGAAAAGAACTATTTGCTTTGCCAGGTTTTTTTTAAAGCAAGGTTTTTCGAAAAAAATGTTTTATATATATGTAATATTAAAAAAAGTTGAAAAGAAAAATTTTCACATACTTTAGGTTTGGTTTAATTCCAGCCGAACCACTTCAAATAAATTCACCACTTTACCCGAATCAGTCAGTACAGACGTTGCTTCCATGTCATACAAACGGTCCGGTCCAGAAAATGGAACCTCTTACTAATTTACAGGTTCACTATATGAAGTTACTACTTTATGAAAAGGTATCTACATCATAAAGATTTCTTAGATGAGATTTGGAGTGGGAGTCAAGATCGAGAAGTACTTCAAGGTTAAAACACGAGTTAAAGTAGTGATGCTAATTTTATTGCTTGATAAAAAAAGTAGTAATCATTTCCCGAAATGCACTTGTTACGTAACAGATGGGTACAGAAATAGATGAGCTGCTTTTCTAGTATTAATATTAATAACAGAATGTTTTAAATTTAAAGTAGTGATGCTAATTTTATTGCTTGATAAAAAAGTAGTAATCATTTTAAAGTAGTAATCATTTTTTTATCAAGCAATAAAATTAGCATTGGTATATATGTTTAGGGTCATGAAACTGTTCAAAATGTTTTTTGCATTTATCTTCACCATCCAATATAGACTTAAGCAAATATTAATCAAACTTAATCTTCAGTAACACAATTGCCTTCTTAGTTGTTATTACTTAAATAAGATAGCTATCGGTTTTGAATTGCACTATAAAGAGATTCTTCGCTGATTAATGCTAAAGTCTACCTGTTTTGCAGTATCTCTGCATATTCATTACACTAGTCTTTTGAAGCAGTCAAATAGCCTGATCAAATCTTTACATGTCTGCTGTATTTTTTAATTTCAGGTGGCTATAAAAAATGATGTTGGTGTGTTTTACTTTGCTACCATCGTACCGCTAAACATGTATTTTGATGAAAGTGGTCAGATGGATAAACGAGATTTTCTGCAAATGTGGAAGGAAATACCAGAACAAAATGAAGTACAGTTTTCTATCAATAATGTCAAAGGTCTTAGCGCAGGTTTGTTAACATTTTTGCTGTTAAAAAAAAAACGGTGGTTTTAAAAAAAAACAGTGGTTTTAATCTCAGGTCAGATTGTAGTTTTAATCTCAGATATGGAAATATTAGTAGACCTTGCATTCGCCCTGTTCAGTAGTTCATATCTGTTGATCCATTGAATACACATCACAATACTTTGGTGACAACATTGTGAAATAATTTTAGAGCGTGATTTCTAGCTTCTATTTGTTCGTAGTTAGTAGATTTGATGTAGCTAAATGGTTGATTTTGATCGAAAATCTCGTTGACAAGTGAAGTATGCTACAGAAGAATGCTAGAATTTAAGATAATAACTTTTCTATTCCAAATTTATTGTCAGTGTTTTCTATAATTGTTGATTTAGTATTGCTAATAATAAAGTTACTTTTCTATGTTTTAGTTCACTAATCCAGTACTTTAAGAAACTTTTGTTTTCTATCTGCTGCGATAGATAGATTTTTCCTTCTCAGAGCGAAGAGAAAAGACTTTTTATACTACCAATAAGAATAAAATGCTTAACAGTAAAGCTACTGGTAAAGTAAGGTAAGAAAAATAGCTATCCTCTGTTGGATACATTCAGATAAGGCAAAAGACTATAACTTTTTAGAACTTTGAAGAGATTATTTCACTTTTCATTACAGATGATATATGTACTAAACTGCAACAGAATAATGTATTCACAGTTGCTCGTCGAAATGTAGAAGGACAAGAATTACTCTATCATTCCATCAAGTACACCAATCAGATCTACGTTCTTTCGGAACTTAAAATGCAGGAAATATCACAGCCTCTCACAGTAAATTTATTTTTTTCTTTATAGAGACACTTACTAAATCATAAATGAAGTGTGTTGATGGTATTGTAGTGTTGACCACAATGACATCAAGACATGTCAAGTAGGTCAGTTCTTGCTGGGATAATGAGGGGTCAATTCTCCTTCCCATCATCAAAATCAATTTTATTAATAACAGTGCTTGCATGCTTTTATGTGACTTGTCTCCCGCTGTCTTTTTTCTTGCGATTATCTTTGATTTATTTCTCATTTCATTTCAGTTATCTTTGAAATCGCGTCATACAGCAGCAACAGCGAATATGAATGACATATATCAGCTGATTATTTCTTCTTAAAGTTGGAAAAATTCCATTATAAAAATTGGTTTTTTTTTCTGTTGTAAATTCATGCAGGAACTTTTATATGGAAGTTCAAACAAGAAATTGGATGGTCTTTTGACGTTGTAAGCATATTTTTATATATGTTTTATATCGGAATATTGTTGTATCATTGGCGCATTTTTTTTTGCTTTGAATGACCGGAAACTACTTTAGTGATAATTTATAATCATCTGTCCTTTCTTTCTTTTTTAAAAATATCAGATCATTTCTCATTTCGTTTTGTTTGCTTTTTTGCATGGTTTTCTTATTATCGAATATTTTTATTGATGAATGTGCTGTCTCATTCCATCTGTTAGCATTCCCTAATTTACTTATTAAGAGTTGAATACTGGATATTGGTTTTTCAACTTTAGTGGTTTTGATCACTTTTAAATGTAGTCTGATCCCGAATAATATTTCAGTGTTGAAATTATCTAAAATTTACCCGTAAATAGCGAATTTGGAGTCGTATAGTAGAGTTCCAAATTGAAATTGTGATTTATATAACCAGTGAGGGTTTCATTAGTTCTGGAGAAAATTTAGCTGTTTGGTTGTGGAAATCAGATTAACAAGTTCGTTAATACATACTTTCCTTAACCTCCAGTTAAACTATTAATAAATTTATCTGATGCATTTCAGTGTTCGCTTAGACACTAAACTCGATGGTCAGCAGTATTAGAATATAGAGTTTATTGAGTGGAAAATAATAGCACTAGAATACAATATCAAATCACTTCGTGTAACATCTACGCAGGAGCGACTTGGGTGTATCTTACTTTTGCTTAAAAGAATACTAAATGAGTATGCATTACATTATTGTTATAAATCATGGAATCAGCATTTTCTCTGTAAAATCAGGAAGGATACGGGATTTCGACCACGCAGGTAATAATTGCGCATGCATGCCACAATAGTATAATTCTACAAAATGACTATAAAGCAAGCAAGCATCTCTCATCTGGCCAACTGAGTGATAGATTGAGAGCAGGGAGAGTAAGAGAATGTTGCAAGGAACTGAAGTTTATGTATGGCATACTTTGGCTTTATCTCACACAAATGTTGTGATGGTGAATAATCGATAATTGTTACAAAATGCTGAAACAACAAGGATGGACAGAGAATAATGAAACCATAAAAAATATAGGAAAAAATTTTACAAAGTTATCGAAAAATTAAGAGATTTCCGTCATGATGTGTTTTGATGTATCACAGTAAATGGGGAAATAAATCTGTAATATAAAAGATAAGACAACAGCGACAAAGGTGAGAAGTTCAGGTTTGTAGTTAAGACCCAGCATTAACGGCATCATTGAATTTTATCTGCAAAACAAAATGATTCGTAATGCTGTTTAAAGTGCCAAATGGAGAGAAATAGGCTCTTTCATCCATTAGGTGTATTTCTTAACATATCAAGCAAATATGGCATGCGATCCTAGCCTAACATCAACTAAACGATATATATGGCTGAGAAAGTGTTTTATCTCTTAAGAAAAAAATTTCTGTTTTGAATTTTTCACATCCATATATGAAGTGAGACTTTCAGGACAAATATTGTGCTTTTTCTACTGCGCTGTTTTTTTTTGCTTTTTCTCTATTTTCTTTCCACAAATTTTGTGACAATTTGGAAAATATTTTAAAAGAAAATTTCATCGAAAAATTTACATAATCCACATTCAATCCAAAAATATTCAATAAATGACAGCGGTAGTACGTTGTTGTTGTTTACTGCTATTGGTATTACTACTGATATGCATTTCATTAAATGCGGTATCATAATCAGCAGGCGGTGTTTCAGGCCTGGCCACAATGTCGACTGTTTCTCGTACCACTGTTCCCATTCCTACTCCTGTGGTCGTGCTCTGATGATTAGTACTATTTGCGCTTGAATGATTGTGACTGGTAGTTACAACTGTTGTTGCTGTTGGCATTGAGCGTGCGGTTGCCGAAAATGCCTAAATCTTTTAGCTTTCATGAAAATATTCGATATTACTGTTTGATATAAGAAAAAATTTGTTTAGCAAAGAATACAAAATAAATTAACCCAATAAATAAGGTGATATAAGGCATATATGAAACAAAGGAGAGATTGCTTTTTCTTTTTTCATTCCAATTATTATTTGTTTTGTTTGTTTTTCTGTCTGGAAAGCGAAATTATGTATTCGCTACACTACTCTATCCCTCAGTCATATTTCTTCCTTGCTAATTGCTTACTTCATAGTTACAAATGATATAGTATGGAGAATATTTAAATGATGTTAATAGTGAAAGAGAAGTAAAGGATTCACAGCTTCATGTGAGTAATTTATGCGTTGATTTGACGTGAGATGGAGCAGAATATCTCTTCATTGGATATTTTTTCCTTGAAATCTTTTCAAAAGTATAAGTTATTAAGACATATTTTGGAGACATTAATATTACTGGCAAATTATTATTCGCAACATTTTTATTCTTAAAAGTCATAGATTGTTATTAATTATCTAATTTATAATTCAATGAAAATCATTTGGTCTTTTGCCCTTTAAGCCTGACTACTTTTTTCATTCTCACTTAAATCGTTTAAAATTTTTTTCTCTAAAACTGTGCAAAAAGATAGCGCAGTCATCTTACAAATGTAAATAATAGTGATCAGACTGAGATTAATTAACTTTTCTCAACGATAACATATCGATCAATTCAAATTGCAGTGAAAATTTGAACCTTTTCATTTAAATGTGGTTTTCGATATATGCTAGCTTCATAAGAATCCCAAAATTGCGATGATTCGTCATTTTCTGATGTAGCTGCCGCACGCCTTGAATTCGTTTGAGAATCAGCGCCAGTCAGTCCCTGCAATTTCATATCTGGAATTCCATTTATTAACTTTTAAAAATCTAATGCTCACATCCTAGCCTTGCATTTGAACCAAAAGATGACTGAATATTGCTTTTTTTGAAATTCAAATTTAATATACCAGCATGCAATCCAAAATACTTAACCATTCCAGAGGTTAATTTCAGTAGCCATGCGTGGCCTTCTAACCTTGTTGTTATGATGCGGGTTCCGTTGCCTTTTCAGAGAATCATAATAAGCATCGTATTGATCCGTTAGGTAATTTCCCGGTTGGTAACTTGCTTGTGGCGGCATATAAGGTGCACTCCCGGGCATATAAATAGGTTCTTCATAGGCCGGTTTCCTTGGTAGTGTACCATAAACTGATTCAGGACCGGTGATAATCGGACCATCGGGTGGTGTTCGTGGCCGTCCCATTGGTGGTGGTATTGGTCCATATGGAGCCATAAATCGTGGCGGTAGAACACCGAAATGTGGTGGAGGGAGAGGATAGATACCAGGCGGTAGATGTGGTGGCATTCCTAAAATGATGAATACTCTTGAATTCATCGGACGATACTTCTCTCAAATAACCGCTATCTCTTATTAGTCATCACAAATCAAAATTTAACTAACAATGACTGGAGAGACTAACCAAAATTTGGTGGAGGTGGTGCTCCCATCATCGGCATAAGGCGATGCATCGGTGGTAGTAAGTGCGGTGGTGATGGTGATGGTGGCGGAAATGGGAGAAATAATGGTGACCGCATTAATGGATGTGCTGGCATCATGTGCGGTAATGGTAGTGACCCGCCACGAAAGTGTGGCGGTAACATACCTGGATAAATACCTGGAAAACCAAAATATTTCCATTGTATCAGGATTACCTTACACTCTCAACAAATAAATTAATAGCAAATGTAATAGTAAATTGGAAAAAATTAACAATAAATTCTCAATAAATAAGCAAAGTAGAAACCTATCCAATTTTTAAGTTTTTATCACAAGTTTAAATTAAAATCTGAAAAAGGTTATTTTAAGCCTATATTCTGAATTTGGTAGGATCTTAATTAGTTATATAATCTGCAAATATAACTCAGATTTTTTGATGTTCTTCAAAAGTTCCTGACAAAAATCAATAACTGCGTACCAGCACATGGCGTTTCACCACCAGCATCACCACATACCATGCCAATGTCGCTACCCGCCCGTTGTGAGAATGAATCTATGCCATTCGTGTACGGTACCAAAGCTTGATCACCTGAAATTCTTCCAGTAATAATTTAATTTATGAAAATTAAAAATAATGCTATTTAGCTATTGTCATTCTGATTACTGTATTAATTTTTGTACAGAAAGTTTAAAAATACAAGTGAGATTAATTTTAGATTAAAAAAAAATCATTTTGTACAAGTTACATTAAAAATTTTTAAAGTTAATTAAAATTTAGTTTATTTCTTTTTGTAAGAACTCTTTTAATTATCTGCCTTTGAAACTGTTTTCCCTTGGATCACAACACAGGCGGTTGAGTTGCTAATTGTCTAAAAAGCGTTTCTATATCCATAAAGAACCAATGAGTTGTTTTATTGATAATATTCTTCTAATGTCTCTCTTCCTCTCTCTCTTCCTCTCTCTCTTCCTCTC